ATTTTTTCCAAAATCTTCTGAATTTTCCTGGTTTATTTGGAGGTTGTACACTGATTTTTTTTTTTTTTGAGTGAAGTACCCCTCAGGAGGCCCCCTTGAATCAGTGATATGACCACCCGTTTGCAGTGGAGGCCCTCCTCCTCCTCCCTCCGGTCATTTCATGGATGCGTGCGGCTGACACGTCCAGAGTGCGCGGCACAATGCTACACACGGGCTCTTCCGCTCGCCCGGCAAGGCCTGGCGTCGGGGGTGGGGACCAGTAGTAGGGGCGGGTCGAGGACGGACACTCGCGCGCGACACGGAGGCGGGCGAGGGGCCCCGGGGGCCCGGGGGCGTGCTGTCCAGCAGGCTGCCCTGTCCAGCACGCTGTCCGGTCCGGGCTAGCAGCGGGTGCTCGGCCGCGCCGCTCGGCACTCGCCGCTCCCTTCACCTGGGCTGGGCCCGAGGCTGGGCCTGGTCCTGCTGGCCTGGTGGGTGGGGCTGGACGAGCAGCTGGCGGGGGCGGAGCCCGCCAGGGAGCTGGCCAGGGAGCCCGCCAGGGAGCCCGCCAGGGAGTCGCCCTGCGAGCCCTGCGAGCCCTGGGGGGCCCGGCCCGAGCCCTGGCCGGTGTCGGCGCCCTCGCCCGGGTCGGGCGGCGTGAGTGGGGACGTCGGCGCCGGCCGGACCTCTACTGGCGTCAGGGGTGGCGGCGTCGACGTCGGTACGGGCGGGGGGTGGCTGTCGTCAACGTTCTCGTCGTCCTCATCGTCCTCGTCCTCGTCCTCGTCCGCGTCGCCGTCCTCGTCGTCGTCGTCGTCTTCGCTGTGCGTGTTGTGGTTCGGGGCCGTGGACATGAGGAGCAGCGCGGCCGCCCGAGCCGCACCTGAGGACGGCACCAGGACGCCGCCGTGGCCCTGGAGGCCGTGCAGGCCGTGCGCGTGTTGCGAGCCGCACTGCGAGCCGCGCAGTGAGCCGCGCAGCGAGCCCGACACGGAGCGCTGGGAGCCGGAGCGCGACGCGGACCGGCCCGTCAGCGGCAGTCCTGCAACACACGGGGGAGGCGGTCAGGGGCGGGTGCAGGGGCGGGCCCAGGGGAGGGCCCAAGTGCGAGCGTAGCGACTGACCCAGGGACGGGCCCAGGCCAAGGCCCAGGCTGGGGACCTCGCCACAGGAGGGCGTTTTGGCGCCGCTACGGGCGACAGCCAGAGGCGACAGCGAGTGACCATAACAGATTGTCGGCCAGGAGCAGGAATTTATCTTTCTACTCTTAGCGGTAGCACATCGCAGTAGCAGCGGGAACCAAGCGGGAACCTCTGGCGTGGAATAAGCTTTTGAGGCATGAGTTATGATAAAATGTTAAGTGCCAACCCAACCGTTTCAGGACAAACTGAGTTCAAGAAACAGCGAAAAAAAACGAGTTTTGCGCTTGAGCGATGAGTTCTAATTTATCTTTCCGTCGGTCGGTCAACACTCGTAAAACAATCTGTACGGTGTGCGGGCCGGGGCCGGCCAGCTTCCATTCCAGAAGCGCTGACGCGGCCGGTTGGTAATGGCCCTGGAGCGAGCCCTGGAGCCACTGGAGCCCCGAGCGGCCGTCCCGCCCGCCCCGGCCCTCTGCTGGACCCGGCAATTACTTACGCCGAACGGCTACGATGAGGCGGGGAAGGGTAAAGCTGCCGCCCCAGCCAGCGCAACACAATAAAGGCATGAGAAGCGTTATCTATCATTTCCTGAGCACGGGAGGGGGTCATTGAGTCCGGCAGAGCCTGCGGCCGCGGCGTCAGCGTGCTGCGATCACGAAGCAGCGTTTTTGAAACGACATCGTGCATGACGTCGTCGTCGTCTCAGCGCTGCGCTGCTGCCGAGGGCCTCGGGGAGGGTGGGGACGAGGACGGGGCGGTACTCACGCGAGGGTCCAGCCGGGCACAAGCTGAGCGCCATCTTGCCCGCGGTCAGCTGCCGCAGGCTCATCTCGGACCCTGGAGGCCACAAACACTAGGTGTCTACACACAGAACACAACGGCAGGGGGGAGAAGCAAAAGAGGAGGCAATGTGTGTACCCGGGATGTTGGTGAGTAAGCCTACAGTGCACACACACGCACACACAAACACACAATACGGCTAAAGCGGAACGGCTGCAGCGATAGGCGAGGTCCGCTAGAGTCTCTTACGCCAGCGCCGCTCTTTCGAAAAAAATACTTTAATGCAAAAAAGACTCCTTGAAGCTGCGCACACTCCTCTCATTCTGTATGTACACGTGTGTAGGCGGAAACCATACCTCGTAGGGAAATATAAAAGTAGAGAGCGTAAAAGAGAGACACAGAGAGATGGATATATGAGGCACAAAGAGACGGTAATAGAGAGAAGTAGACTGGAGCAGGAGATATGGGCGGAGGGAGAGACTACCGCCCTACCTGTGTCGCTGGAGAAGAGGATGTGCGAGGGCGCCAGGTTGGCGTTGGCGAAGTGGTCCCGCGGTCGGCCCCCGACGAAGAGCCTGAGCACGAAGCAGATGACGCCGGTGAAGAGGGCGATGCCCGTGGCCACGCCCAGCAGCGTGGGCAGGTCGGCCGTCAGCAGGACGAGGTCTGCAACGAGGACATGAGAGGTCTTGGTACATGGTTGAGAGTGCAAAAAGAGAGCGAGAGCAGATGATCGATAACAGTACGAGGCAATTAGACACGGGTGTGAGAGGGCTGCGCTGCGAGGGGAGAGCGGGCGGGTGTGAGCGCCGGGCGGGTAGGCCGACACGCACGTCACCAGTGCGCTGCGTGTGCCGGAGATGCCTACCTGCCGGGCGCCTCCAGTCCAGCCCGGTAGGGTGCCCCAAAATAAACGTTTGAGCCAGACTTGGGCGTATGGTCCTACATCTCGGATTTGGCCGGAACAGAGCAGGTTTGAGAGGTACATTTTCCCCACCTTTCAAAAAGGCCGAGATATGAAGCACACCGAAGTAAGCCGTTTCCAGTGGCGTCTCTCGGCAAATTTCCTACAAGTATGTGGCACTTTTGCGATTTACCAGCTGAGACGATTGTGGTAGAAAAAACAAAACAATTCAAAACAAAATTTGTGAGAAAAAACCTAGCGTAATATCGTCTGGTGACTTTTGTGAGCGTATGGGTAAGTAAGTATGGCAGAGTAGGTGGGGGCTCCACCCGGCTCCACCGAGGCGCTGTTTGCATGACAGTACAGCTCCCCGCTGGGGCCGGCTGGGGCCCCTGCCCAGGCCGAGGGCCCGGGGCGGACCCGGGGCGCCGCCCAGCCCACCCACCTCGACTACCTGCTCTAGCTTTTCGGGGCCGAGCGGGAAAGGGACACCACACACGGCGATAAGGAGAGCATGAAAGTGTGCTCGTATCTTGTTACCTCAGCCACTTGTTCCAGGCGCGAGAAGAAAACATACATGTATACACGAGTTGAGAAGAGAAACAAATGACTGGGAGTCCATTTGCGCCACGCCAGCGCACTTAGCCCGACCTCCGAATCGGGCCGCTCGGATAAAGCCGACAAAGTGCACACGGGCATCACAAGGGCCGAACGCGCGGCTCGTAGAGACCACGACGAGGATAAATGGATCATTGCTATTTTTAGCCGCCAACTTTTCACTCTCGCCCGCCGGACAGCGGCCTGCGCCGCCGCCGCCCTATGCATAGGGTAAAGGCTACCGTAGGATTATCGGACGTGGTGACTTGGTGATGTGATGGTGGGGGAAAAAGGCTCCCAAAAGCGCTCTCCGCTCTGTCACCTCGCACCTCTCCGCGGGATCAGCTCCCACAAGACGCGTACGTCAAGCGTCAGGACTATAGTATTCACACCGGCAAAACTTTTATCTCCCCGCCCCCCTCACCAAATTTGAGAGTGGCGGGCGGCGCCTGGGCGCCTATAAACGCTTTCTCCAAACTCCCTCATGTCACGAAGACTTCCGTCATGCACCCTTCCAGAGCAGACCCGACCCACTCCCTTGTCAGTTCAAGAAGAAACGTTATGTAACACTCCAGCAAAGTCACCGTGTCCGTCCCACTTCACACTTAAGGGGGGCTTGGCGCTCGATGCCCTGCTGACTCGAGGCATGGGTGCGGGAAGAGAGAAAAGGGGCAGAGAGCGAGAGAGAGAGCGAGAGAGAGAGAGAGAGAGGGAGGAGGGGGACTGGAGGGGGTGAAGGGGGTAACCGCAGAGGGGGCACCTAGGAGGGCCGAGGGTGCTGTTCCTGTTTCGAGGGTGGGTGTACCGGAGGTGGAGGGGGGTTAGGGGGAGAGGAGAACCCTCCACCAGTCCTCCAGCTGGGGCTCCAGCCTGTCCCCGCCGTGGAGAGCCCTTCGCTCCACAGGCTGGGGGGACATGACGACGCGCACAGTGACCGTGGCACACAGCTCGGAGCATGCTGGTCTGGTTCGGTACGGAAGTTGGGGTCGACGAGAAAAAGTGCGGACCGAGCTCGCAGCAGAGACAGTGAGAGAGAGAGATGAAAATATGCACGGCGCTTCGTACAAGGAAAAGTGCGCACGGGGGGCGCAGCAGATAGAGAGAGAAAGAGAGATTCGGAGAAAATATGCACGGCGCTTCGCCATATCGCAATTCGTTGTAAACATGAGAGCCTATATGTGCGCGCATTTCACGAAAGTTGCGGACTCTTGAAACACCCCCCGAACCCCTTCAGATTACATCACGTGACGCCCCGTCTCCCCTTCAGGCGCTCATGCGGGGTTGTTTGTACGTTATTACGCGTATCCACACACGAATAGAACGCGCTGGGCTCGGCGGCGCCGGGCTCGGCTGCAATGCGCGCGAGCGGCGAGAAGGCCAAACTCCGCGCCAAACTCCCTTCACTGCACCGGCCGAGACAACTTTGTATATACAGCTGCTGCCGCTCGGTAGCGTGGTAGCACATGAGGGGGCGGCGGCGGTGGTGGTGGAAAGGGAGGGGGAAAAGAAAAGGGGTTAGAGGGGGGGGAGGGTGAGAAGGGAGATACGGGCAACTTGGATAATTACTTGTCAGGCGGGGCGTAGTGGGATGCCTTTACTCCACTTCAGCTCGCCCCGGGGCCGCGCGGTTAAAGAGAAAAGAGTTGCAGAAGATTATCTATGGAGGAGGAAAAAAGATGACACTTTTATCCAATATATATCTGCTTGCCCCTTTCACGAAACAAAAGTGGAAGAAAGGAAGGAATATTTTTTTCCAACACACATCGTGTATCCCTTTTCCTGACGCTTGACCCCCTCGATCCCTCCACCCCCTCTCTGCCGGCAGGCGACGAAGAACAACAAGCGTCCGCCCCCATTCTTGCCCGCCCCCTGTACACGGATCTACGGAGGTGGCGGTCGAACCATTCAAGCGAGGCGGCCTTTAGGGCTGCCTGCACAAACACTGCCTGAGCTTCTACGTTTCCATCTCCATCTCTCTCTCTCTCTCTCTCTCTCTCTCTCTCTCTCTCTCTCTCTCTCTCTCTCGCTTCTCCCTCGCCCGCTCAATCAGTT